ATAGTAGGAGGTGTCGAGTAGGTCACAAAGTATCTCGACTCTCACCATAGGGTGTCTGGTAGTAGCGAGGAGTCTGATGCTGATGATGGTAGTACGAGGGTCGTTGCTACTGTTGCGGTCACTTGTGTGTGAAGGTCCGATGGGGAGTAGCGGAGGAGGCGGCGGCTCGCATTACCATCGCTATCAACAGAGGGCTTTGGATGCTCTACGGGAAGAGTCGGACTGGCATGCATCTCAATGACCGTCTGAGTCCTTCGATCAGATTCATACGAATACGTCGAGACACTCGTTATGACAAAGCCCTCATGCCTGGTCTGTTTGTAGTGTTGGTAGAGATCATGCAGATATGTACTGCCATGGAGCAACCCGCAGCCTTGGAGCCCATCTTGAGGTCGGTTGGATCTTCCAACCGCTGTGGTTGAATGCTCCTCGGTAGGAACGTCGATGAGAGGTACCTGAGCCTCTGCCCGAACTCCATACGAGTGAAGACTCAGTACTTCTGGGCCCGGCATAGACTCTTCCAGTCTCGTCTGCCTGATGCTGAGCATCGACTCGACGACGCCCTGAAGTAGGGGCTGTCGTCGTAGCAGTGTGAGGGCCATTACTGGTCCCTCAGATACTGTCCGGACGGTCACATTCATGCCAAACAGCGTATACTGAACCTTCTTATACCCTGCAAGGTGAGGAAGGGGATATTGCCGTCGAAGGAGCTGCTCGAGAGGAATCAGCTGTAGGGGTATCTGGTGGTGGACAGCATGTGAATTGATTCTTATCAGTACGGCACGGTGGGCACCGTTGTTGAGGGCCATCAGGCAGGGCAACCTTGCAGAATACGAAGTAATGTTGATCACTGCTAATTGGGGAGCGAGCAGGGCTCATGTTTGCGTATGCGTCCGTACATCTATGCGTGGACGCAAATACTCATACCGTCAGAGTGAATCACGTGTTGAACAGGGCGACATTCTACTGCTCTTGCATCGTCTACTCGCTTGTAACATAGTCGTCGGATAATTCTCAGTGATGTTTCTGAGTTGCTGTGCGGACCGCCCTGGTTCGAATCCCGCACTCCGCAATACTTTCCGGTGAAATTAGCCACCATACAGTTCGTCGCAATTCACGAGATTCACAAACTGTCAGATAGTATGAGGGTTACTATGGATCACCGAGTACACGTCCGTATTCTCATCGTATGGCTCTCTGATGTTACGAAGGTGCTTCCTCTCAGCGTTGTCGGACGGAGGCCCTCAGTCTCGATGACGATGCCGGCACTGGACGGCAGATATTACCATTCTTCCTTGATGGCATGCTTGTATGGTGCGTTTACAGGTGAGCGGTGATCCTATCCGGAGACGCCTACGTTGTGTCGAGTAGGAATCTACTGGAGCGCACTATGACGATATACGGCTCGAATCAAGTCCCTGTATCAGTGCTCACAGCGGCCTTGAGAGTGAGTGAAGATGATGAGGATGGTCACGTCTGTGATACCTATGCTGAAGGCATTGTAGCGCGGCTCCTGCTCTATGGTTATTGCAAGGTAGAAGATGCCTGTGAACTTCCATCTCGGCAGTCGATCGTCTGAGTTCAGGGCTACATCTCATATGAGCTAAGGACTCTGGTCCTCGCTACTCGTAATGCATTTCCGAAGCCCCCATGGGAGCAGCTCAGAGAGTTATGATTGCCTCCACTATACGTTCCTCTCACGTTTCACGTCGTTGTGATGTCTCGTTCGCCGACTGTTACTCTGCCCAGTAGTAGTTTTTTGTTCCACAATGTTGGAACCCCAGGCCGTGTTTGTTGTGGCTGTGCTCATAGCAGCGCTGTCAGCCGTCCTCGCCCATTTTGGTTACCGCTCGCCGAGCTACGTAGGGAGCCCCCTGGCCACTGCTATCATGACTCCTTTAGGTCGTCGGTATTGATCTCGGTACGTCGTTTTCTGTAGCGGCGATAAAGCCGGCAGATGCTGAGAAATCGGTCAGCCCTAC